GAACCAGAAGCACCTGACCGACGCGGCGCAACAGGTTCATCGCCAAGCCACCGAGGCAATGAAGCTCCCGCTGCTACGCCATCGGTGACTCCTGAGGTCAAGACTGCGATCGATGAGATGTCAGTGGCAGACTCGTTTATAATGGGAGTCCTGCGAGGCTGGCGGCTTCTACAAGCCGCGGGACTTTCTGCAGAAGAGAAACGAGATATTCTGTCAACGACCCGCAACAGTCTTAACTATGAAGTTATCTCGCAGGCCCTTCAAGGACTATGGGATGAACAACTTCTTGGACACCGACAACCTCATGGAGGCCTTATGAACTACATGGACTCGGTGGACGCCTTCTACACCGGCTCCCACGACTATGAGGAGGACTGGGACGATGGCTGGTCATCCTGGTGGGATGACTACACGAACTACTACCAAGCGGCGGAAGGCGACTGGTGGGATGAATCCTGGGATGGCATGGAAGCGCAAGCGACTGTGCCTTCTGAGGACAAGGAGGAAGATGACTCTCAGCTACGAGAAGCTCAACAGGCCGAGCAGTTGGCTGAATCCCTGGCAATGGAAGCGCAGAGAACATGGGCGGAGGCCAAGAGTGCCACTCAGGCGCTCCGGAAGGATCGTGGCTTTGGCGCTGTGAAGGGAGGCAGCAATCGATGCTTCATATGTGGTGGCCCTCACTTTGCACGTGAGTGCCCTCGTCGAGGACCTCCTTCGATGAAAGGCCAGGGCAAGGGTGCCTACGGTGCGATCTATGAGGACTACTACACGGCCAAGGGCAAAGGCAAGGGCAAGAGCAAGGGGAAGTCCAAGGGTTTCCACCGCAACATGATGTTGGAGGCTCAAGCTCAGTGGATGAAGGGCAAGAACAAGGGAAAAGGCAACAACCCGGCCAGGACGGTGAACATCTACGCGGCGGACGCCAACTACCTGGGCGGCTTGGAGATTCGTGACTCCCTTGATCTTGCATCGGCCAGTACCTCTACTGTACCCGACTCCCAGGCTCACGTGGGCATGTTGGACAGCGGTGCAACGGCTTCGGCGGCACCGGAGATCGTCATCAAGGGCCTCATTTCTTCGATTCTCACCCAAGACAAGGACGCTTCAGTGAACTTTGATACGTCAGCGCGCCCGTATTTCCGGTTTGGGAATGGGAGATGGGGCCGAGCCTTGAGTCGTGTGAGCCTTACCAGTCGAGCCTCGGGAACACCTGTAACCTTCTCGCTCTACATGTTGCCCAATCCTCCAAATGCAGTGATCGACAGCTCTTCCATACCTCCCTTGTTGGTTGGAATGGACTTTATCCAGGATGTTGGTCTGTTGGTAGATTTTCGATCCGGACTAGCGATGAACACGCTTGACCCGGAACCCAGCATCTACGAACTACCCCGCAATCGCAAAGGTCACTTGATGGTAGATGTTCGTTATCACCTAACCAAGGGGAAGATTTGTGATCAAGGTCATGCCCGCATCACTGTGTGCCAGAACCCTTCTGATGTATGTGACCATGACAATCAGTGGCTTGAGCTAAGCGTGGTGTGGTTTGACATGTCAGAGTGTGATGCTCAATTTGATCATGAAGAGCGCTTGGAGATTGAGTCTAGGATGTGGATGCTGCATCAACAGGCTCGTGAACGAAGCTCTTCGACCGCCTCAGCATCTGCAGCTCAAATGTGCAAGGCTGCAAACGCAGAAAATCCCTCGACAACTTCTTCCTCTCGTTCCCTGCTTGATGGCGGCGTACACCCCTCAGCAGCTGACGGCGGCCTCCGAGAAGATCGTGGTGGCGAACATCAAGGCGAAGTCCAAGGCGAAGACCAAAGCACCACCCCTGGACCCATCCAGGCGAGTTCCCGGCGACACCCGAGATCCTCGAGCCTCTGCACAGATGTGGCCGTGCTACAACCGACACACGGCCGATACCCCGAAGAGCAACGCCCACGGCGATTGGGTGCACTGTGCGGTATGCGACCTACGGCTGGCCTACACTCCACGCGAAGGGTCGCATGGGCAGACGACAAGCGTGAAGAACCCGGCGATGGTGAAGAGGATGCTGGACGAGCTCAAGCCGTTGATGGGAGACTACCAACCCACGGCAACCATATGCCGGGCAATGCAATCGAAGATCGACGCGGAGGAGACTCTGAAAACAGCA